AGCTGGTACCATTCGCAAGAATGGTCACATCGTCATCAAGAACCGCCCTTGCAAAGTATATCTTTTTTCTTTTATTTCTTTTTATGATTCTTTTTCAATACTTTGCTACATGGGTTTTGCAGATTTATGATGGTCGAATAAAATTTTTGATTTTTTTAATAAAGGATATGAAATCTATGGATTTATGTTTTTTCTTGCCTTTTGTTACTTTTGCTAGTATTTTTGTGTTCTCCATGAGGAATGAATTTCACTTGAGCGTTGTGATATATGATCGAGTTCTTTTTCCTGTATATTGAAAGTATCAGTGTTGTATGCCTGTGGTGTGAGGGATGAATTTTAATACCTAATTGGTGATGATTGGATCCTGGATTTTATGTACTGGATGTATGTGCTGGTGTATATTTACTTTTTTTTTTTTTTTTGTGCTTTTATCTGAATTGTAATTACTAACAAATGGCTCTTTAACATACCTTGGCTACAAACTATTCTCTGAGGAGTCTGCTATCTTTTTTTGGACTTTTAATCTACTGACTTTGGTACTTACTCACTGGGCTTTATTCTAAAGGAAGTTATCAAATAATACTAGTAATAGACATGTTTGGAGCCGTTTACTGGGGAATTAGTGTGCTTGCGTTTTTTGTGTGCTTTCCGTTCAAAAGCTCTGCTCTCTGCTTACACTTCTTGTGTTTTAAGTATTGCCTGTGTTTGTGGAAAACATGAATCTATGAAGATAAGCTCTGCTCTTTTCTTGTGTCATTGGTAGGGTTGCTGGGTGGGCATGTGCTTACACTTCTTGTGTTTTAAGTATTGCCTGTGTTTGTGGAAAACATGAATCTATGAAGATAAGCTCTGCTCTTTTCTTGTGTCATTGGTAGGGTTGCTGGGTGGGCATGTGCTTTGTATATCCTGTTAATTATGTTTATGATGAGCTGTGCATATGGTCTGTATTTTTAAATTGAAGGAAATGCAATATGCCACTAACTGTCTTTATTTTCATCATTTTAATTGAAGTATTCATGGTCTCTATGGTTAATGTAGGTTGTTGAGGTCTCTACCTCCAAAACAGGGAAGCATGGACATGCCAAGTGTCATTTTGTTGCAATTGATATCTTCACTGGCAAGAAGCTTGAGGATATTGTCCCATCATCTCATAACTGTGATGTAGGAATTGTACTTTTGTTCATTCAAGATGTTGCTTTTGGTTTTTTCTCATGACTACTGTTTTACTACTGTTTTGCAGGTTCCTCATGTTAACCGTACTGACTATCAGCTGATTGATATTTCTGAGGATGGTTTTGTAAGTAACATTTGTGAATAAAGAATGCCAATTTAGTAGAAGTGTAGAATAATATCCTATTACATCATTTGTTCTTGCTACTTTGAGTTACTTTGAACTGTGAAACTTGGTGTTGTCATTGTGTTATAAATATTTGTGTAACAATAAATGGCTCCTAATATGCAAATTTCATCATATTGACTTTTGTTCGATATCCTTTTCTAGTAAGGTGTATATGTGGAGTCATTATTCGTTGGCATGCTTTTATAAGATTCTTGCTCAATTGTAATTTCAACCTACCTTCATTGTTTTCTTTCAGGTGAGCCTTCTGACTGAGAGTGGCAACACCAAGGATGATTTAAGGCTTCCGACAGATGAAAATCTCTTAACTCAGGTTCCAAAAGCTCTTGAATTGAAAGAAGTTATTTTGTCACATTTTGTTCCCCGAGTACCGTGAGGATTTGATTTTCCATACTCAGTGTTGTAAATTGGCCTAGGAAGCTGCTAGGCTGTGGGGATTTCACTCCTAGGTGCCTTTTAGTCGGCCGTGCCCAACTTGGCCGAGTGTGTGTGTGTGTGTGTGTTATTGTTATTATTATTATTATTATTATTGTTATTGTTATTGTTATCGCCTTTTGTAACTTTGTCCATACTCATTTAACTTCTGAATTTTACTTGGCAGATTAAGGACGGATTTGGTGAAGGAAAAGATCTTGTTGTATCGGTCATGTCTGCAATGGGGGAGGAACAGATCTGTGCTCTCAAGGACATAGGCCCAAAGAACTAAGATAAGTAGCGAGTATTTACATCTTAATGCTTGCTTTGATGCATGCGTGGATCGTTGAACATTTCTGGATCATTGGCTGTATTGCACTATTGTTGCTTTAGTCATAGTTTTGAACTCTGTTTCGTGATATATATATTGAAAGTTTAGACATACAATCCTATATTTACCTGGTGGTGTTTTTTCTCATCTATTTTATTTTATGTATGGTCACCCAAGCCCTCATATATTGCCTATCATAAAAAGTTGGATTTAAATTTGTATTCCAGAATTATTTATTGCCTCATCTGGGACTTTCAGTAACAGAAATTGAGTAATGTTATCTTTTAAGCAATGCAATCAACTAAGAAGGAATTCATCAACCATAGTTTGGTAGCACAAAATTATCAATTTGGGTGTTTCTTTAGCTACAATTGTCCAGCTTGAGTAATACTGTCTGTACTTTGTGGACCTTTCTTCATGGGAGTGTCATTTTAGTTGCCATTTTCTATTATGTGTGGCTAAAGTATTTCACAGTTGTTATACCATGGTCCACCTTGCGAGGTGGACTTGGGTCTAAAATACACAATTTATATATTGAATGTTCACAATTTACCTATTAAATGTTTATTACAATTTACCTTTTACAAAATTGTGAACGTTCAGTATGTAAATTGTGTATATTGAATTTGGGTCCACTTTGTAAGGAGGACCCGGGTCCACAGAATACTTTGCCATTGTTTTACAACATTCAATATCCCATCTATTTTCAATATTTCTTTCTTTTTCGATGGTTTTATCTATCAACCAAATATTTGTAGGCCTATAATAATGTCAGTATTTTTTATTTTATTTTTCATTTATTAATTTTATTTAAAGTTTAAATAGTATCTCAAATTAATTAATTATCAAATAAAATATAATATACAGTAACTTTTAAAATCTAATTAGAATTATAATTATTTTACATATAATTTCTAACTTATATATAAAAACAAATTGAATAATATTTTTTTTTAGAAACAAAAATTAAAAATAAGATTGTAAAGAAGTGTAGCCACTTCATTACAACGCAGAACAGACTTACTTTATGTGGCGCACTAGCGGTTGTAACCTTTTGTATTTCCTTTTTCTTTTTCTATATGAATTTTCAAATCTTACTTCTTCAATTTTATTTTCTGATGATCTTATTTGATGCGTTTTGAAAAGCTAATTTTTTTATTTTCTGATGATCTTATTTGATGCGTTTTGAAAAGCTAATTTTTTTAGAGTAAAAAATGGGAGGATAACATTTTCCTCTTCTTTTCTCATACTTCCTAAGCTTGTTAGGTCTTGTACCTACACCTAAAATTTTGGCACTCCCAATCATTTGCTTGGTAGTTATGTATTGATTTGGCATCTCAAAAGCTACCATTGGGATGCCCTTGGTCTATTAAAAGTACAACAATAATTTACACTGAGCAACAATATTAAGTACATCAAATGTTATTATTAATGCACAAATGTGTAAGATGTTATTATTAGGTGCATTAATGTGATGTGAAAAGATAAATTACTCGCACTATTAAGTGAAAATAGTTGCACAGTTATTGTACTTGTACTTTTAATACATGTTACTTGCACCAAAGTTTGATTTATTTACAAAAAAATTTACATATGATCCGTTAGATCTGGACAAGTGGACGGCTGTGATTAATTCTCGGTTCTTTCTTGGTCATTTGTTCTCTATATATTCCATTTCATATGGAATAACATTCTTGTTCATTCAAAATTCATTTCATGAAACTATTAGTGAATTGAATTACATCAAAATCTTACAAACATTGAACCATTTACTTTTATTCTCCATTTTTCATTTCTCAAGTTTATGACTCGCATAATTTATTATTTTTTTTCAAGCCTCCATATTCATTTTCGAAGCTCAATTTACTAGAAATCTAAATACAAATTTGAATGAGTGAAAGTTAGGAATAATATGGGAAAGAGAGTCGTGGATGACGACCAAAGAGAAAATTGTGGTTAGCGATAGAAGAGAGTCAGGAATTGGATTGTGATTTTTGATGGAGGAAATGCTGGGATGAAAAGGGCAGTGATGAAAGCTCGATAGAAAGTTGAGGATTTCCCTACAATAATTAATTATTATAATTACCCAAAAAAAAAAGTAATTATTATAATTTTTAATTTTTATCTAAATTATTTATACTCAATTGATATTTAATTACCAATGACCTTGTGGTCTAGTGGGCATAAGTAGATCCCACAAAAGGGAGATTATGAATTTGAGCCCCATTGGAGGTCATATTGACTCTTTATGCCTCAGTAGATAACAAAGTCAGTAGTATAAAAAAAGTTGATATTTAATCATTATCTAATCATTTTTTTGTTTGAATGCTACTGGCTTTCTCAATCTACTGAAACACAAAGAACCAATAACGCCTCTACTGAGGCTTAAACTCACAACCTTATGGAAGTCCAACCCGGTACCATTAGACCCATGGTCTTGGTAGCTATTCAAATATTTTACTTTAGAATAAATTGCATTGTATGCGTAAGAATATTTTTTTCTCTTCCATTTTATCAATTTTTATAATTAGTTTGTTATTATGTTGACCATTTCAAATTACATTAAGGATATTTTTACACAAGTTCAAATACCTTTTAAAGCATTAGGGAGGAGGAGTTGAAGGAGCTACTTCTTATATACTTCCTTTATCATATTTTACTTGTTTGATTTATTATTCATTAGTCAATTAACTCTTTTTTTTTTTTCTTTTTAAAAACATTTTTGAAATAAATAATACATTTGATCTAATGTTAAATATATTAATTTATATATACTACGAACTAGCAATAAACTAAATACATATTTTCCAAAAATTAAATTGCACATAACTTAAGTCAAATCTTGTCAATCAAAACATACACAAAAATTGACCCGGTAATATTATATATTGAATATACAAGTCTTTGTGATTGGATAATCCATTATATTTGCAAAATAAATTAGTGACAAATTAAAGTGGACAGAACCTTCTGAGTGCTTGAGGCTACCCAGTATGGCGCCTTCTGAGTGCTTGAGGCTTTCCTCGGGTGTCCCCCTTCCAACAGTATCCAAAAAAAAGTGGACAGAACCTTCGAAGTTCCTAAACAATCATTCTTTATATATGACAACTAGTTTTATACCCGCATTGCGCGAATGAGTTAATCTCCAATGTTTATAATTAAATAAATATTTGAAAGTATATCAATGCAAAATTATATATAAGAAGTTCATATATGAGTAATTTAATGTCGAATTTTTTTGTTAAAATATGTAACTCATAGTATATGAATACAATGTAATATATGAGATTCATTATAATTGTTACTAAACTTTTTTTAAATAGTAACAAAGTATTTTTGTTTCAAAGGGTTCTAATATATTTAATTAATGCACATATATACAAGATCAATGAATGAATCAACGGTATCAATCCTTTAGGTGTTTTGCTCAGTGTTCAACGGTGCCAATCCTTTAGGTGTCTCAGTGTTCATTTAGTTCAACCATTATTGTTGAATAAATTATTATGGATAAAGAAATTTCTAATTTAAGGAATTTAGATGAAGTAGTAAAAATTTAATTAATTATAATGTAACCCAAAGATATTGGACGATTGGTAAATATGATGTAACCCAAAGATCAAAATGCTAAAGAAAGTGTTTGGTTATTTAACAATTTGAGCCAACAATTTGTTCTAAGCCACTGAAAATACAAACATTGCAATTTACAATATTTTCACTTAGCGTCTTTTAGAATGATTTTCCCAAACACACACACACACACACACACACACACACACACACACACCACACACACACACACATATATATATATATATATATATATATATATATATATATATATTAAAGTTTATTGTAGAGCCATTTCGACTCCTTGAATAACAAGAGGCAGTTTCACTGGCTCACTGCTTGGCCCATCAACGGATGGGCAATCTTAATTTTTAAATTGTAGCCTTAATGCTCCTTTTATTGGAGCCTCAAGTTCCCATGCCACTTTTTCCACCGATGTGGGAAAAGTCACAAAACTAAGACTCTCCATATGTTTTTTTTTTTTAATTTTTATTTCGTTTATTAAATTATTATTATTTTCATTTTTATTTTTTAAAAAAATAATAAAAATAATAATAATACTATATAATAATAATAATAATAATAATAATAATAATAAAATAATAATAATATTATTATTATTATTATTATTATTATTATTATTATTATTATTATTATTATTATTATTATTATTATTATTATTATTATTATTATTATTATTACCTTAGGTCATTTTACATGTTAATCTAAACAGTTAATTTTTTTTAATATCTTTTTACCAACAATTGATATAATTCGCTGGTTAAATCCGCTAACGCTAACCGCTAACTGCTGATTGCCAAACAAGGACATTGCGAGATAGTTTTCCACTTCAATTTGTTGTGTGATTTTATTATTTTAATACTCTCTTAGTCTCTTTGTCAACAAATGTCTCAAGTAGTTAATTTGATTGACTTAATTATATATATATTTTTTAATTTTTTCATGGTATTAATAAAATACTTGGTAAATAAATATATAACATTAATTTGTATTATAACTTTGATATTTAATTAAAAAATAGGGCACAGAAAATAATAGAAAATCTAGTGAATATAATCAATTGATGAATTTGAATGTAAAGAATTTTTACATTAGAGAAAAATAAAGACAATATAACTAATAAAATTATTTCTCTTAATTAATTTATTGATAAAGATTTTTTTTTTGTTTGAATAAAGACATTGTAGGGACAATGTAGTGAGTATAATCAATTGATGAATTTTAATGTAAAAAATTTTTATATTGGAGAAAAATAAAGACAATATAACTAATGAAATTATTTCTCTTATTTAATTTATTGATAATGAATAATTTTTTTTTGAATAAAGTCATTATTGACACCAAGGGCCTTGTGGTCCAATAATGGGACTAGGTTGCTCCCATATGTGGGAGATAGTGGGTTCGAACCTACCTTAGTTGAGACGTAGTTTAAATCTGTGGGTATCTTCTTTATAAATTAAAGAAGTGCATATTTATTATTTTTGTTATAGCTACTAAATTATTGTTTAATTTAATAAGAGTAAAATAGAGTACTAGAATGCAAAAAAAAAAAAAAAAAAAAAAGAAGAGTAAAATAGAGTACTAATTATGCCAACTTTGATTGGGATGGAGTTCGAACCTAAGATCTTTCTTATTGAAATCAATGAGTAAATTAATGGTGAACTAATAAAAATTAACGGAGAAGATCATACTTAACGAAAAAGTTAACGAATAATCATATATTAAGGATAAATTAGGAAATCTTAAAAAAAAATTAAAATCTAATCAATATGAGCCATTCATTTGATTATAAATATTTGATGTCATTTTTTCTACCCATACGTCTAAGGCTCTTATTAGTATAGTAGATTATTCTTCCAAATTTTAATCATCAAGTCGTCTCAAAAGGTACTCAATCTCAACTTTTTTAGTTAGGGGCATCACCCAATCTTCATAAACTCGAGAAACTAGTGGGGGATCAACCTTGTAGGTTTCTGTTGAATTATCTGTATGGTCGAGAGTCACTTCTCTCCCAAACACCCTAGCTTTCTTCGCCACTCGCTTTTTCACCTTTTCTTCAACAGCTTCAAATGTCACCAGCTTCATTAGAGCATCTTTGTCCTGCAGGCATAGGAAAAGTACGTAAGAAAATTTTACAAGGAAAATACTTGGTGTACTCTCATTTTATACTCTCAATTTGTACTTCCTCTCACATATTTTTGATTGTAGACATTTTTCTGTGGACCCATATGATGAAACTAACCAATTTTAATTTACCATCTTAGGGAATACAAATAAGGGAGTATAATTTGAGAGTGCATGTAGTAGAACTCATTTTACAATCCCTTGATTGTAATATCATTTGTAGTTTGCAAAATTGTATGCTATTTTTACATTTGGATGGTTAGTTTGTGGCCTCTCTCTCTCTCTCTCTCTCTATATATATATATATATATATATATATATATATATATATAAAATAGTTCCCTCCAACCAAATAATGTAATTTAGGGCTTCAACGAATTTCAATTCAATTGCAAGGAAATTACATTCAACCAAACAACCTGTAAAGAAATTGTTTCGGAAGAAAGATGAAGAAATGTATAGATGAGATGGGAAAGTGCAAAGTTGTCAGGGTGTTTGAAGGTAAAAATGTAAAAGAGTGTTTTTTTTTTCACGTCTCTTAAAATACATGCTAAAAGTAAGTAAGACACATAATTCGGGGATTGAGGGAGTATTATATATAAGATTTAAAATATTAATTAATTAATTATATATGCAATTCTGCTATGTAATGACAATTTATTTTCTTAAATTGTCTATTATTGTTTTT